CAAATAAAGTCTAATGTTACAACTAATCATGGATCCCTTTAAAGAAAATATTTTTCTTCAACTGATCATATTACACCACCACATTACCACCAGCATGTGCTTTAATTTTATATTTTAAATTTTTTATTACAGGGAGGTTTTTTTTACAACTCAAAATAACTTAAGAATGCCTTTTTTAATTTGCCAGTCTGATAGATTTCTCCGTTAATATGGGATTATATACAGGGTTTCAGCTCATGCAGTCATTTAATACTTTTTATTTTTCATATTTGATTATTTATTCAACAACATTTATGACTGTAATGCTCCGTCACAGTTTGGCTTTAAATATAATCAAGCTTAGCACAACTGGAAAGACAAAACTCATCGCTATAATCAGTGGTGGAGCCATGGTGTAACCAGCCATTTCTGTAACACCGAATAGAAAAGTAAAACCTAAATGCAGTGCTTTAAATTGGTTTATGACTAGATATTAGTTTTTATTTATTTATTTAAGATTCAGCTAATGCAATTGAAATAGCTGATTTTTTCATTTTCTGTAATTAAAAAGGAAAAAAAGCTGCACACTTCTAATAAATACTAATAATATTTCTGTTGATCATCATTCTGTGTTCAAAAGCCCCACCTTCCCAGAGTCAATACTCTGAGGGAAACACTGAAATGAGAAAAACCTTTGCATCTATCCTAAAACATTAAAATAAACTGTTGTAGCGGACACCTTTCAGTGGATCCCTGCAGACGTTCCTCACCATAAAGATACAGATAAGATGCTTCCAGTAGAAAATTTTAAAATTCCAACTTCGACCTGTTGGACAAACTTTTCATAAGTTGTCTAAAATGTCAGAGTGTGACAGGGCKTTTAAAGCAACAAATGTCTTATTGTCTGCTGACCTGTCCAGGGATGTTTGTTAAACCAAAAATCTGAACAAATTTGAAGGACAGATGCACTTCAGTAAAAGGTATAAGACTGTAGAATAATCTGGAAAATGTTTATAAAAGCATTGGATCAATTACAGAAATATGAAATTGTTTAATTTGTATTTGTATGAGTTACTGTTTGAGGAGTTGAATTTTTCGTTTTGTTTTATTATTTGGTTTATTGTTGTTTGAAATTAATAGATTTTTTTGTAAATAGGAGCAGATATAAGATTTTTTCCTTCTGCTGCTCTTTCATTGTATTTGATTTGTTGTATGTAATGTTTTGCGTTTTGTTTTTTTAAAATGAAATGAATAAATACTATAATAATGCTCCCGTACCTTGGCAGGCTGGGGTGTGGAGAAGTTAAGCCAGGCAGGAACAAAGTCATGCTGCGCCATTTAGGTCCAGTGTTTCCGGTCAGTGGATCGAGGCATCAAACCTCATGGCCAGGATCTAAAACAGATTAAAAAAAACAGCAACATCAGTAATATTTAAATTTAACTCTTTACAGATCAGAAAAATGAAACCAGACTCAAGGTTTTTCAGTTTCTACAACCACAACTATCAAACAAAGTTAGGCAGAATGCAATGACTTTCARAAACCCACATTATATTCACAATAGAACAGAGTAAATATATTAAATATTTAAATTAAGAAATGATATCATTTATGGGGATGGGAAGATTCTTGTTATTTTATGGCAGTAACACATCTCAAAAGTTTAAAGAGGAAAAACTCAAAATTAGAGAGCTACAAATAAGAACCAGAATTTTATAAAGAATTAAAGTGTCAACAGGCTGAAAAGAGGCCTGGGTATAAAAAGAGTTTAAAATAATCTGCCTGAAGTAAAAACAGTCTGAGAAACACAAGTGGAATTATTTCAGAATAATGTTCATCAATRAAATACTGTGAAGCCTTTGAACTATCATCTCTATCTTATAATCTCAACAACAGATTAGAAGAATCTGTAGGTTGTTTTGTTTGAGCTTACAGTTCACCGTCATCCATCCTGCTTAAAGCTCTATCACACAATAAAAAGAAACCACATCCAGAAGAGCTGCAGTCGTCTTTGAACCAACGATCATTTCAAACAGTCTGAGACAAAGCAGCGAACTGTTCTGTGGCCTGTTGTGAGCATGCGCTTTAAAAGGCTGCCTCTCTGATGATAGAAGGGTGCATCAGAGCTTTATAGTTTAGTTTTATTTAGTTGTAACAGTTTTTCTTTTAACTCGGTAAGTTGTAATTAGTTTTTAGCATGGATTTGCTCGTTTTTATTAGTTATTATTCCTTTTTAATGCTTGGTTTAGTTTAGTTTTAATTAGTTCTAGTATTAGTGGGGTTTGTTGTAGTTTGAATAAACATATTTGCCAATGTATCCTCCATCTTGAAGTGATCCTGCAAGTTAACAAACCAACAGATTTTTGATCATCAGTCAAAGCAGTCCGTTATAAAAAGCCTTCCTAAAATAATCCTGTAATTCAGACATGCCATCAAAGGACATGGACAATTGTTTTAAGAAGGTAACAATAGTTGTTTAGATCCTGGTGCTACCTGGCTGGACTGCAGCTTGTTTTTCATGGGAGCTACTAAGAGAAGCTGCTTGTCAAGAAATCAGTTAATTAGTCCCTTGAGAAGTATTCCACCTGTTCTATTACCTGTTTCCACAACAAGACGCTTTTAATTTTCTCACAGTCATATTCAAATAAAACCCAAATTGGACTTTACTACTTTCTCCCAACTTTTGTTGTCATTTTACAGGTGAAGTTACAGACCATGATGTGCTGTAAGC